GAAAGCAATCAAAAGCATATAAACGCTAGCCAGCGATGTGAACTCTGAGTGCTTTGTTTTAACCTGTGACTTGATATGTTTGCTAGATAGCAGGTAACATGTATGAGTGCTGGTGCTCGTAAACGAAGTCACTTCGTGAGTATGTTTTCAACGTGAAGAATTCTGCCTGAGGCTTAACGTCTTTCTGTTGCGATGTTTTGCCTGCTCAGGTACATCTTAGTGTGTTTTAACGCCTCCCCGTCAGCCTTTACGGACTAGCGTCCGAGGGGGGGTGTTAACATGTGAGCATTCTGGTGACTGGGGAGAGTATGTACCCGGTTACCGGACAGCGCCATTTGGAACAATTTGTCCCGGACGCCCGTCGGCGTTTGGCTCAAGTGTTTAACGGCTGAAGCTACCGAGACTTGCTTCGCCGTGCGAGTGAGAAGGACCTATCGTCGTCAAAGCTCCCGTGCAGAACCCTCCTCAGGGTTTTGCAGGAGGATGGAGGAGGAGGAGGAGGGGGGGGATCAGATCAGATGAGCATGCTTGCAGGGGGAGTGCACAGGACTAAGGTCTAGCCAACTGCCACAGTTGCCAAGGAAGTGATAAATCGTACCCTCATGCAAGACGATCGAAGATCTTAGCAAGCCTCTGGCCCGTTGGGCCAGCACAGTCAGCAGTCGTGACACTTCGCGTGTCCGGAGAAGCCCATCCAAAAACATACACTAGTCGAGTTGCCCTGATCAAGAAGTCGTAGCACGTATCAGCGTGCGGCACAGCAGTGAACCTTAAGTACTGACGACGACGACGGCGACGACGATGACGACAACAGGAGTCAACATCATGACCTTTGTAATCTCTCGCGCTGTGAGCGCCTCAGAGGCCTTTGGGGGCCATCGACGGGCCATCTTGGAGGCCTGTTGGACGCTCTCCGGGCTCTCTTGGGGCCCTCTTGGGGCGCTCTTGGGGCTTTCTTGAGGCGCCAACCCCGAGAATTCTTTCAAACAGACAGATACCCAATGGAGTTTGTCGCTTGGATACCTCCGTGGACCAGGGGCCGCCTGGGTGACTCGGTGTCTCCGGGGATGTCGCTTGGAGGCCTCTCAGAGGCATCTCAGGACTTCTTGAGGGTCTCTTGGCGGTCTTGAGGGCTTCCAGGGGCGTCTACACGATTTTCAGGAAATGGCCGTTTCGCTTGATCCATTTTCCCACCATCGCTCTCCGACGTACAACACAAAATGCCACAAACATAGAACATTCTCACACACATAACATTCTCTCACATACATACATCGCGCACAACACAACACAACACAACACGCACGCAACGTACAACACGCACACACACACATACACCACACAGATCAAACAGAATACACAATACACAATGCACGCAACGCACGCATATTTCACACACCCACACACCACGCAGCTGGCAAAACGCACGCAATACACACACAAACACACACACGCACGCACACCTACACACACATTCCGAACACATACATATCACACACTCACAAAGCGCGCACACACAACACACAGAGCCCACACATACGTCCCACAGAACACACAACAAAACGCACACAATGCACACAACACACATAGTACACGACGCACATGCTGCACAGTGTGGACCCCCGTGGGTGCCTCGTGTCGGTGACCTCTGGGAGGCCTCCGGGGGCCCCCTGAGGTCACCGTTCGCCGGCCGGGTTAACGTCACCACACGGGGTCGTTTTCCGCGTTCCTGCAAGCATTGTTTGAGGAATCGCATCAGGCGGTGCTGGGTGGGCATGGCCCCGTTTTCCGCGCCATACTCGATGCTCCAAGACAGATGGCGAGCGCGCGCGATGGGCTTGGCAAACATGACTCAAAAAGAATGGGCTCAGAAATCTGAGCACGTGTACGTACAAAGGGAAGGGGGGAAGGGAAGGAGGAGGGGAAGGGACAAGGGGAGGGAAGGGGAGGGGAGGGTGAGCAGGAGCAGGAGGAGCAGGAGGAGGAGGAGGAGGAGGGGGAGGAGGAGGAGGAAAAGCAGGAGGAGGAGAAGCAGGAGGAGGCGGAGGGGGGGCCTGAGCGCCCACGTCGGATGCAGCCGGGCAAGCATGTTCTCATAAACATCCCTCGTGGAAGCCGTGCGAATGCATTGCTTCGCGTAGAGGCTGAGGCACGGCACTGGGGTGAACGATGTGCAGACATGTTCGTCACTACCGCCGTCGTCGTCGTCGTCGCCGCCGCCGTCGCCGACGACCGCGAGCACGACGGCGGCGCTGACGGCGATCCCCACTTGCAGATTTTCCTGGTTCAGCGGTTCGATTTGAGGCAGCCGGGCAAGCATGTTCTCATGTACATCGCTGACGAGCCGACCGTCCAGTTCATCTACCAGTCTTTGGTCGACTGGGCGTTCTTCGCGCAGAGGCACCATATCGAATGGCATCCAGGAGCTTCGCAAAATCCGCTGGTCCCGTCGTTGCCTCTCCTCCCCAATCTCCCCCTCATAAATATAGTCTGTTTAGGTTCATATCTTCCCGGGGGGGGGTTCGGGTGTTGTGTTCTTCTCCATCGCATCCTCCCTGGGCGCTGTAGTGGATGGAGGTTGGGGCGGGGTGGGGCAGAAGGTTGCTCAGACGCTGGTGTTACGGGCAAGCGTGGCGGACCTTACGTATGGCACGCTCATGGGCGCGATCCGCGATGCAGGCATGATTGCCTGGGATTTCGACGCCGACGCCACTGCCGTGGTCGACGACAGCCAGCGCTTCTGGAGTGGCACGTTTCCACTTGTGACTGCCTTTTTCTGTTCACGTGGCTATAAGGTGGTGAGGAACGGCAAGGACTACTTCAAGATCTTGCCCTGCATTCCTTTCTTGGACAGTCGGGGCGAGTTTCGCGAGGCGAAGGCCGCTGTTGCAAGGGACAACATTGCTGCGCCACTCCCCCGGGGAGCTTTGGCGCGCGCAGCCAGCGCACGCAGGGCAGCAGGAGATTTCACGGCTACGGGCGTCACAGCTTTGGACGTGCATGTAGCAGTGCCTTCTTCGAGCGGAGGGGTGTTTGAATGGAAGAAGACCTTCGCCCATGGCGACATCTTCCCCGTGTCGTGGCGAACGTTTGGCCCCCTTTCGCTGCCCGTTCCGGCGCGTGCGAGCCACCTTCTGACCACGTGGTATGGGGAGAACTGGCGGACGAAGCGCGTGTACAAGGACGCGATCACAGGTCAGCTATCCTCAGTGCCACGGGGGAGCCGGCGAACAGCTACCCCGACGCGTCCATTGCTTCGTTTGCATGATGCTGTCGCCTGATATTGTGCACGCTTCGCGGATCCCCACCAGCCCATCCAGAAGCGATGCCAGAGGGCTGATGCTGCTAGTGTTAGTGTAGTGCTGTTGGTGCTGCTGCTGGTGGTAGGGTGCTGTGCGGGTGCTGCTGCTGCTGGTCCTACAGGTGCTGCTGGTGCTGCTGCTGGTGCTATCCAGCTGCCTTCGGCAAGTCCCGCCACCGTGCCAGCCCAACACATTGGGTGGCGATTGTTCGAATCATTATACGACCACGGCGATGGTGATGATGATGTTGATGTTTATGATAATGATGATGATGAGGACGATGATGATGCTGATGATGATAATGATGGTGATGGTGTAGGTGATTATGTTCCTGATGTTGGTGTTGCACGAGACCGCGGTGTGGAGTGTTGGCGCGTTGCGTTCTGTTTGGGTTCGGGGGAGGCTCGCGGCCGACACTGTGCAAGCGACGCGGCTAGTCCGCTCCTTGCCTAGTGGCTGCCGTGAACAGATACTTGTTTGTGGATTGTGCTCGCGACCGGGACTGCGCAAGCGATGCGGCTAGTCCGCTCCTTGCTCAGCGTCGGTCGTGAATCGCGTTCGTTTAGCCCAGAGTGTTCGCGAAACGTACTGTGCAAGAGATGCGGCTAGCCCGCTCCTTATTCTGTATCGCTCGTGAGCATTGTTGATGTTGTATGGGGTGTTAACGACGGGGACTATGCAAGCGAAGCGGCTAGTCCGCTCCTTGCCTAGTGACTGGATACACTCATTGATGCAGGCAAGAGTCGGGCGAGATGAGGAAGAAGGTAAGTAGGAGCAGGAGGAGGAGCGGGGAGGGGGATGGGGGAGGAGGAGATGGCCAGGGCAGATTGCGTCGTTTTGTGGAGGGCCAACCTAGGACGTGGCGTCGTGGGGCCATCTTCGACCATCTTGAAGGCATCTTCGGCCTCTTGGGGCGATCCTGGACGCTTCCGGGGGTGTTTTTAGCTGACGGAAGCCCAGAAACGTCAGGATCCAAAAATCAATGAAGAATTGATGGAGAATCATGGTGTTCTGCTTGTTGGGACCGTCCGGGGGCGCCTTATGGAGCCCTCTTAAGCAGTTTGGGGGGCTTCTTTAAGCCATGTTGCAGCACAGAAACCCTGCCAGAGAGCACTTGGCATTCTTCCACGCCTCAACGTGCCAAAGGCACGTTGGGGGAGGCATGTTGGGCCATCTTGGCGGCCCTGGTCGCTCCTTGGGCCGTCTTGGAGCCTTGGGGGAGGCCCAGGGAGACTCCATAGCCGCCCAGAAGTCCGGGGAGTAGGGAATTCACGCGACTCCATGCGACCGGACGGGGTGGTGGGTCCCTTAGAAGACTACACAAACCCTATCAGGACAGTACTTGGCATTCTCCACGCCTCAACGTGCCTACAGGCACGGTGGCGCTCTCCTAGGGCGACCTGGATTTGAGAAGCTTTCAGGAGCCGTAGTCGGGGTATTTTGAACCGCCATCGACGCTATGTTGGTTGTCTTGACTCATCTTGGGCGGTTTGGAGCCATATTGGACTGTATGGAGGTATTTGGGGGTATCTTGGCCGTCTTGGTACTCTTCCTGGGCGGTCTTGGAAGCCTTTGGTGTATTAGTGAGGTCGTTTTGGAATCTCTTCAGCTGTCTCGGGGCCGTCTCGGGGCTGCGGATTTCGCTCTACAGTGGGGCCTTTCCTCTCGGGCGCGGTGAGCGGCGCGGTGGCGGTTCAGGCGGTGACCTCGTTGGCCGAGGCTTCTCCGCTGGGCTCGGCTGCCCGCAGAGACATCAGCGATCCGCTCCACCTGGCGACCATCTGCAGTCAGGGTTATCTGGTGATGTGGCTTCTCACCGAGGGCCTGCACCTGGCCACCTCCACCGCAGACGTCCTGATGAACGGCTCGCTGGACCTCCTGTTTGTTGCCGGTTGCGGGCACCTCCTGCTGAAGAGGGAAGAGTTGCTCGACAGCGCACTGCGACAGCAGGCCAACGTCGGGGCTTCGTTCGACGCGTCCATGGCGGGGGCCCCGGGGACGAAGGTCATCCTCTTGTGCTGCTTCTACCAGGTCTTCGCCGTGGAGCACGATGCATGGTGGGCGGAAGTACAGACGTGGGATTGACTACCCAACGGGGGGCGCGGTGCGAGTGGGGACTGCCCGGCGGTGCGCCGTTAGTGACCCTCGCACCGTTGCTCCCCGGCCCCGCGCACGGCGCGGAGAGTGCCCCTTGTTGGGCCCGGCTTGGATGTTATCCACTGAAAAGGGACGGAGAGGGAAAGGGGTTAGTGGGCATTCGGACCGGAGTCCCGATTTTATGAATACCTGGAGCGCTGGAGCTCTTGACGCCATCCTTCGCGTGTGTATTTTGCACCGTGGGTCGCTTTGCGTTTCCCGGGCCCGAAACGGCCCCCAGGACGGCGCGGAGAGTGCCCCTTGTTGGGCCCGGCGTGGATGTTATCCACTGAAAAGGAACGGAGAGGGAAAGCGGTTAGTGGGCATTCAGACCGGAGTCCCGATTTTATGCATACCTGGAGCGCTGGAGCTCTTGACGCCATCCTTCGCGTGTGGATTTCGCACCGTGGGTCGCTTTGCGTTTCCCGGGGCCCGAAGCGGAACTCCAGAGTTCGCTTGCACTGGTGTGGCTGAACATTCTCGGCCCTGTACACACACCGTTGGCACATGTAGAGGTTCCATGGAAGCCGCGCCGAGGTCTCGACGGACGTGTCCCGCCGCTCATGGCGCACGTCCCCCGCGGTTGTCGTGGCCTTCGCAATGGCTTGTCCGACCGGTTCCCAAAGGCGCAGTCTGCAAGTGCCTCCGTTTCTATCGCAGAACAGCGCTCTCGCGTTTGGGGGCCTCGCAGGAACTGCGCCGAAGGATCCAGCAGCGTGTCGCACGTGCGTTGAGGCAGAGGCCTCGCGACGGTGGAGTCAGACGCAGTCTTTCGCAAAGTCTTGCGCGTCATCCCAGGCAGACGATCTCTGCCCGCTGTCCACGAGAGCCCCGCGTGTCGCAGCTGTATCAGTATTTTTTTACAAAATGGGGAGGGGGGTCGGTTGGGGCCCGCGTTCTTCCACGGCGGCGTCGCCGTGAGGCTCGAGCGGGTATGTGCTGTAGGGATATTCTTGTCTGTACCCCCGTATCTCTTATTGCGCTTCTTGCAGAGCTCCTCGCTTGGAATCGTCTCGCCCGCAAACCATCAAGACGACTCGGGGGAAATGTTCAGGAATGCGGTCCCGGGAACGCCCTCTGCTTATTGTTTTTTTTTTTTTTTTAATTTTTGTTTTTTTTTTTTGGTTCCTATTACAGGTTCCCAAATTAATTTTCACGCCGGAGCCCTGTGGCGGCCTCCAAAGCCATGGGTTTGCGGTGTGATGTCCTGTTCGGCACTCGGAAAATTATTTCGGTTCGCCTGCCTCCCACAAGACTTTATCCTCTCCCTTTCCCAAAGCAGCACATAGCATTCCGGTCAGTGATCAGCTGCCACTGGGACATTGAAGTTGCGTTCCGCTTGCATATTTGAGCTTCAGACTCGGCGCTTGCGCCACGGCACTTGACGTGGCCGTTAGTCGTTGCGTCAGAAAGAAGTGTTTTTCAGATTACGCATTGCTTGGTGTTCTCAGATGGAGGGGGGGCATGGGTGAGGGAGGAGTGACGGTATGAGGACAAGAAAGGAAGAGAGGCGGAAGTCGCACCATTGGTTAGGCCTTGGCATCGCCAGCCCTGCTCCCGCACTGTCGCCAGTCGCAGGCGTAAAACCGTTTGTAGGCCTGGTACAGATGCTTTTTTTTTGTCTATTGTGCTTTATTTTTTGTTTTGCTGAGACTGACGCATACCGAGGCCGGCTGGATTGTGACAGACCGGCACCCATGCGTGGCATGAGAGCGAGAGGCGAGATGAGGACGGTGGAGGACCGCGGGGGGCGCAACCACATATAATATTCACAGACACGTTGCGGCTCCCGCGGGTGATGGCATGGCGAATGTGTCGGGGAGAAATCTGGAAACAAGGAAGGGTCGCAGACAGAGGGACGACATGATCTTGGAGGGTGAGAGGGCGGTACGCAGCATTCCAGGCGAGCGGGGCTTGCCATTCCGCTGGCTGTCCAAATCGTGTTGTTGTTACGGTGATTGCAGGGGCCTTTCGCAGCGGAGTGCTCGTGCGTTTTCGTCGTGGACGAGCAGGCCTTGACGGGGGTCGGGGTGACAGCTCGGGACAGGCTTTCTCAGCCTGAGTCGTCGCAGCCGGTCAATTTCGCATTACTATTCTGGGCCCGTCTTGCCCGTCTTGGAGTTTACCCAGACAGCCCCCGGTCAATTTCGCAAGACTTCCTTGGGCCCTCTTGGAGTATTCTGTCGCCCTCTTGGGCCCCCCGGTCGATTTCGCATTCATTTTCTGGGCCCGTCTTGGAGTTTATCCAGAGAGCCCCCGGTCAATATCGCAACAGGATTTTTTTGGGGGGGGGTCCTTTTGGAGCATTCTTGGGCCCCTCGTGGGCGTCCCGGTCCATTTCGCATTAATGTCCTGGGCCCGTCTTGAAGTTTACCCAGAGAGGCGCCCGGTCAATTTCGCAACACTTCCTTGGGCCGTCCTGGAGCATTTCTGGGCCCGTCTTGGGCCCCCTGGCCAATTTCGCATTACTTTTTTGGGGCCCGTCTTGGAGTTTATCCAAAGAGCCCCCGGTCCATTTCGCAAGACTTTCGTGGGCCCTCTTGGCGGATTCATGGGCCCTCGTGGGCCCCCCGGTCTATTTCGCATTACTTTTCTGGGCCCGTCTTGGAGTTTGTCCAGAGAGCGCCCAGTCAATTTCGCAATACTTCCTTGGGCCCTCTTGCAACATTTTTGGGCCCCTCTGGTGGTCCCCGGTCCATTTCGCATCCATTCCCTGGGCAATTTCGCAACATTTTTGGGCACTCGGCACTCTTGGAGCATTTTGGGGCCCCTTTTGGGCGTCCCAGTCCATTTCGCATTACTTTTCTGGGCCCGTCTTGAAGTTTACCCAGAGAGCCCCCTTCTTTTTCGCAACAACTTCTTGGGCCGTCCTGGAGCATTCTTGGGCTTTTATTGGGCCCGGTCAATTTCGCAGTCCTTTTCTGCGCCCGTCTTGGAGTTTATCCAGAGGGCCCCGGTCAATTTCGCAAGACTTTCGTGGGCCCTCTTGGAGCGTTCTGTGGCTCTCTTGGGCCCCCCTGTCAATTTCGCATTACTTTTCCGGGCCCGTCTTGGAGTTTATCCAGAGAGCCCCCGGTCAATGTCGCAACAGTTTTTTTGGGGCCCCCTTGGAGCATTCTTGGGCTTTTATTGCCCCCCCGGTCCATTTCGCATTATTTTTCTGGGCCCGTCTTGGAGTGTATTTATTCGGAGAGCCCCCGGTCAATTTCGCAATCTTTTTTGGGGGCCCTCTTGGAGTATTCTGTCGCCCTCTTGGGCCCCCCGGTCAATTTCGCATTCCGTCTCTGGACCCGTTTTGGAGTTCACCCAGAGAGCCCCCCGGTCAATTTCGCAACACTTACTTGGGGCTTTCTTGGAGCATCTCTGGGCCTCTTTTTTGCCCCCTGGTCAATTTCGCATTCCTCTTCTGGGACGGTTGTGGAATTTATTCAGGGAGCCCCCGGTCCATGTCGCAACCATTTTCGGGGCCCTCTTGGAGCATTCTTCGGATTCTCTTGGGACCCCCGGCCTATTTCGCATTACCTTCCTGGGCTCGTCTTGGAGTTTATCCAGAGGGCCGTCGGTCAACTTCAAGACGGGCCCAGAAAAGTAATGCGAAATTGACTGGGACGCCCAAGAGGGCCCCCAAAATGCCCCAAGAGTGCCGAGCGCCCAAAAATGTTGCGACATAGCCCAGCAGATGAATGCGAAATGGGCCCAAAAATGTTCCAAGAGGGCCCCAGGAAGTATTGCGAAATTGACTGGGCCGGCAACGCGATCTCGATTCAAGGCAGCACCATCGCCGGCATTTGCGGTCACCTTCTGACCTCCGGGGGGTTCTACGTTCGTTGCCAGAGCTTATCGCAGGTTGCAGAACTGTTGCATTTGGGCACGATCAGCGGTTCCAGATCTCGTCCTGAACGGTTGTGGGAGCGGCGAATACAGACTTGGGATGTGGCACTTGGGGGGGGCAAAACTCGTCCTCTGTGCTTCGCCCTGGTTCACGAACAGATATTGTGGCGCTTACCGTGTGGGTTGGAAGAAAGGTGATCTATGCTGGACGACGATGTCCCCTACCAACGACGTGCTGGCATGTCGGATCCCACAATTATCGTCCTGCACACCTTGGGTGGCGCACTGGGTGGTTCCTGAGGCTTTTGAAAAAGCCTCTCGAGCTGTCAGGGCGCGTTGATTTCGTCGTCGTAGACGTTGCTGTGCGCCGCGTCGTCGTCGTCGTCGTTGTGGCCGTCGTCGGTGACATCGACGTTTTCGTCGTCGTCGGCGTCGTCGTCGTCGTTGTGGCCGTCGTCAGTGCCATCGTCGTTTTCGTCGTCGTCGGCGTCGTCGTCGTCGTTGTGGCCGTCGTCGGTGACATCGTCGTCTGTGTCGTCGTCGTTCGCCTCGTCGGCGTCGGCATCTGCAGAGCTCTCCCCGTCCATGTTGCGCACCCCCAGCGGCGCTCCTGCAGCGTTTTCGGCTTCAAGGCGGCGCTCGGCGTAGTGATTGCATTTCCCGCCGCGCCGCAGGACCCGAGGGGCAGGTCGTCGTCTACGTCGTCGTCGTCGTAGTCGTCGAGGAGCGGCGGCGGATGAGAGGAACGGAGCGGAGGAGCGTGGATTGAAGACGATAAGGGCGGGTCGAAGGCTTGGGATATACATGATGAGGGACACGGACGCGTACACGGGCGAACATTCGTTGAATGATTGTTCTTGTTGCTGCTGCTGCTGCTGTTGTTGATATCGTTGGGTCAGTCACTGCGGGCCCTCCGAATGCGCCCGGGGGCCGAAAATGCCGAAAGACCGCCGTCTTGAAAAAGTCACGACGTCGGAGTTCTGGGCGGGGCGGGGAGGGGGTGCCCGGTGGCGACCCCGGGAGAGCCGCGCGGACTTCGGAGAGCCTGTGTGCACCTACCGTCC